CCCAAATCAGCCCAAAACCCCCAGAAATTTTTCTATAAGTCCTAGAAACCACCATAATCATCAAATCCATCTTGAGAAAAGAGGTATACCAACATTAATCTTGGTCATCATCAGGGTGTCAGGGTTCTCCAAACCCTAAGAATCAGACCAAACCTTAAAGGTCTCTTTTGACCTCAAAATTTGATAACACCTTAGATATGTTAAACCAATGACAACAAACCCTAATTTACGCAAAACTGACCACCCTGGTCAACCCCTGGTCAACATGGTCAACATTGGACTTATTGATCTTATGGTCCCCATATTAACCATTTGGTCAACCCTGGATCCTATGGTCACCTCATTGACCATTTGATCAACCCTGGACCCTATGGCCATCACATTGATCATTTGGTTAACCCTGGACCCTATGGGCACCACATTGACCATTTGGTCAACCTAACACCATATGGTCAACACATTTAACATATGGTTAGCTTAGCACCACATGATCACCCACATGTCTAAATGAGTCCACATGGTCAATCCTATGGTCATGAGGTTAACTCAACCACCATGGGAGTAATTTTGATACATTTTCTTAATTAATTAATTAATTAATTAAAAGAAATATTATGAAGGGCTTAGCCCAAGCCCAACTCTAAATGAATCCTCAAGTCCACCCATGGAGCCCAAGTCCAAACTCACCCTTAGCACATTCTTAATGGGTCATCCTTGACCCTATAAATACCCATCATGACATGAAAATCCATTTAAAACCTATTAAAGCCATGAAATTTGACTTTGTCCAAATCATGATGAAGGGGTATGTACATGGCCTCCACCTCAACCTCTCTCTGGACCAAGCATGGGTGGTCAAGCCAGCCAACTCTGAGCCTTCCATCTACATCTTCCTTCATCTAATGGTTTCAAAAAATCCACTCAAGCCACCTTCTCCTCCATGCTTAGTTTCATGATGAGAACACCATGGGAAAAGAAGATCTTGACTATTCTTGGCTGAAATCAATCCTCTGGGATTCCCTGAGCAGCCAACCACCTCTTCCAATCATTGTCAAGCTTCTCCATGGCCTCTAATGACTACAAAAGGATTGAACTTGCAAGCCTAAAGATACAACAGAGCTTCCAAACTCTGTCACTCTCAACAACAAACTTGCTCTCCATCCCTTAGGCAATTGACCCCCCATCTTTTAGCCCCTCAAATCCATCAACAAACCCTAATTTCTCAAGCCAAAACCAGGAAAAATTTTGGGTTTGACATGAACTTCATCAAGCCTTGGATCTAAATGTCATAAAAGCTTTCCAAGGTCTCCACGACACTCCCTCAATCGAAATTGAGCCATCCCAAGGTCCCTAACCTAGTTCAAGCCAAAATCGAGCCACCATTTCACCAAATCATACGTAGGCTCGATTTAAGAGCAAATTGAACTAAGGAGGATCTTCGCAAGGTCACCACGAATGTGTCTGCCAATCCCAATTGAGGTCAAACCTCTTGGGCTAAGGTATGCATCAATAACCCTAAAAATTGTTTGAGTTTTGACTTTTATTAAAGAAATGATCATATAATGCCTTATCAACAGAATGGATAACTTCGTCATGAGTAGATGAAGCTATAGGATCAACTCCAAGAAATTTCATTGAGAATTAATGGAGATCTTAGGGTTTGAATGCCAATGGTTTTTGGGTTAATGTCTCGTGGGGATGATGCCCGATGTCATTTATTTCCGAGTATTGGGAATGGACCACCACAATTAAATCGTATCACCAAACCGTGGGCCATCTCAACACCAATGCGTAAAACGTTGCAAACCAAAAGCTATCGGGTGGACATTCGGAGCTGCCGAGGATGAGGTGGTGTCGCGTCGGATAAGTAGGAAAATAGAGATTTTCTTATTTATTCAAATTTAGAAAACCTACTAAAATTCAAAAATTCATACCTTTATCTAGAAAAAAAAAAAAAAATTTAAACAAAATATCCCTAAACTCGACAAATCAAGAAGAAAATAATAAAAATAAAATTGATAATAAATGATTTGTGTTTATTTTTTAATTAATTAAATACTCTCTGGAGTATTTTAATTATTAAAAATTAAATATAATTCTAAAATTAGAAAATTTATATGGATTATTTCCTCGTCTTTGGAAATATCCTCTTATTTTTCCAAGGTTAGGGAAGATTCCTAAATTGAAAATAACCAATTTCCACCTAGTTTTATAATTATTTTGAAAAATAATTATAAAAAATCAGAAAAATGGAAATAAAAATACAAAATGGTTAGGAAACTTAAGGTCATTAATCCAAACCCCAAAATGATATTTTTCAACCCTAAAAACTCTAAATTGAAAATTTAGAAACTCAAGGGTAAAAATGCGAAATGAAAATATTGATTTGACTCAAATTATCCTAAAACCTAGCTTGAACCATTTTATTACCTTTAAGACCCTTGTCTAAGGAGTTAATAGGATGGTTACTCCTGTTAATCATAAATACACACCCCAATTTAGAGTTTAGCCCAACTTGCACCTAAATTATCCTAAATATTGGGTGTAATCGACTTGGATATAACCTAAGTCGTAGGTATTGAGTTTAATCAACTTAGGCTCAATCTAAACCCTAACATTAGGTTTTGCCATACCTGAACCAAATCTTTTATGTTGGTTATGCCTACATTGAAACCAACCAAGCCTTATGTGATGGGTCTAACCATCTTAGACCCAAATCTTATAATCAACTTGTTTGAACAGAAATGTGGTTTAAATTTAACTTTGTCCAGATAAACCCATGGTTGGACCCAATCCAACTTAGGTTAAGTTTGAAACCAAGATAGACTTGAACTATCCCTAATCAGGCCTAATCCATATTATATCTAATTATATGACTAAGTCTTACTTAAATTAAACTTAATTAAAATTCCCACCCTAATTAGGTTTAATCCATATTAGACTTAATTATTTGATTAAGTCTTAATTAAATCAAACTTAATCAACTCTTAAAACCTAGTTAGGTCTAATCCACATTAGACATAATTAACTCATTAAGTCTTACTTAAATCAGACTTAATTAAATATTAAACCCTAATAAGGTCCAATCCACATTAGACATAATTAACTCATTAAGACTTACTTAAATTAGACTTAATTAAATCTTAAACCCTAATAAGGACCAATCCACATTAGACATAATTAACTCATTAAGTCTTACTTAAATTAGACTTAATTAGAACCTAAACCCTAATTAGGTCCAATCAACATTAGACATAATTAACTAATTAAACCTTACTTAAATTAGACTTAATTAAATCCTAAACCCTAATTAGGTCTAATTCACATTAGACCTAATTAACTCATTGAACCTTATCTAAATTAGACTTAATTAATCCTTAACTCTAATTATGTCTAATATACCTTAGAACTAATTATCTCTTTAAACTTTACTTATATAGGACAAATAATTGTTAATCTTGCTTAAGTCCACTCACATTAGACTTACCCAAACCTTAAGTTCAACCCAAATTGAACCTAACTCAACATAAACCTTAGGTTCAACCCAAATTGAACCCGAGTCAACCTAAATCTTAAGTTCAACCCGAATTAACTTAAGTTCAACCTGAATTGAACTTGCGTCAAACCACAAGTTCAACTTACCTGAACTTAATCTTCAGCTTTAGGCTCAATTTAAATTGGATCTAAAATTAACCATAAGTCTAATTAACCTTAATTTTTAGGTTTTTTTTACATTGAACCTAAACCCTAAGTCTAACCTATGTTAGACTTAGCTAACCCTTTAAGTTCAATCTACGTCGAACCTAAAGCTTGAGCCTAATTTAACCTTGGTTCAAAATGGGATGCCTTTAGGTCTAGCCTAACATAGACCTAACCTAAGTCTAATTTAACTTAAACTTAGCTCAAACTCAATTCAACTTGGGTTATTTCAATCTTTGGGCCAGCCTGACCCAAGTCAAATTAGCCTGAATTGAGATTCTACTTTAAATTTTAAATTAAGTCTCAACCTCGGTCTAATCAATGATTAATATAAGTCGAACTTAACTTAGACTTAAAAAGAAAACTTAAGTCTAAATTAATTTAGACTTCATTCAAGCCTTATTAACTTAAATTTGACAAACCCAAGGTTTAACTTAAATTAGTTCAGCTTAACTTGTGCTATTCTTAAATTAACCAACTTAATTTTATTTGATTTATCTTAAGCAAATAAAAGTAAGTAAAACTAATCCCGGGACAATCCTATTAAACTATGGTCGATTTAAACAAGTTTAATGCCAATTTAAGGGACAATCAACCTAATCTAGGTTAACTCAAATTATTTAGAGTCTCACTTTAAATCAGCTCAACCCAATATGAACTAACCTAAACATAAAATAAGGCAACTGAAGGTTAAGTATGGTTTTAGCCTCTAGTACGAGAATAAAAACATACTTAGCCTCAGTTAGGTACAAATTAGGCTAAAATACTAACTCTCCTAGAGGACTAGTATTGAGGCTCACACATACACCACAATGCACACCACATACTCATTCATATACACCTCATAATCAAAATTAAAATCAATTTTCAAGGGAACCAAATTTGATGCTATTTTTGACATGAACTTGCCGACATTTGACTCGAGTTGAGCATCTTATTGCTGAGAGCTATCTGTTTGCCTTTGGTCGTCTTTTAGACAAAGACCGGTCAACATTTCACTTGTAAGACAGCTTCGATCGGGCCAACAGATATCATTCGTCTCACTATGCGCGAATCAAACTTAAATTGGTATGCTTGTCTATGAATTTGTCCAGATAACTCTGGATGATGAAATGAACTACTCAAGCGAGTTTGAAACATAGATTTTAACTGAAAGAGCACTTATTTTGTTATGATTTCATACCAGGAGTAACATGAAAACCGAGTCACTTGAATTATAAAATGAAATTAAAAAAAAAGAAAAAAAATCTTATTTAAAAAAAACCTAACATTACGTGAGAGACAAAAAAAAAGAGCCCGGATCCGCTCGAGCGCTAGGTATTTCGCGAAAATACCAGCCGTCCGCCCCGAGGCATGCCCTCCGGCGGCCCTCCTCCCTCGCTGACGGCTTCTTCGCCGGCTTGCAGCCCTTCGACGGCGCTCCCTTCCGCGTCCCAGGCGAAATCCTGCTACCAACATCTTTTGAGGAAGCGTGGAGATATATAATAAGGAGGCAACGGCTTTATTAGTTATTTGACAAGTTTAGCTGTCGTCTTCCTTGAAGTTTAATATATGACGACAGTAGGGAGCATCAAGTCCACCTCTCTCAACGGGGTCAAGATATACTCGGTCTCCGGTCAGCGTTCTTTGCCCTCATGGCTCCCGCCTAAGAAGCTCAAAGCCCTCCGCAAAGACAGAGGTTTGTATTTCGTTACTTGTTTATTTATTGTAAGCGTAGATACATGCTGATAATTGACACCAGGTTTAGAATAGTGTTTACGTGATATCAGTTTGTTGATATCTTGATTACTCCCAAGTTAAAATGAATGGTTAAAGCTTTGCCTGTTGAAACTACAGCATAAAAAACACAACTTTTGTGACTTAGTTTCTCCCCCGCTAAATCGAAATATACGGTTTTTAGGTCTACCAAAAATTTCAACCATAACAAGCAATTGCAAATGTTTGTTTCACTATAGCTAAATTTGATTTTGGAGCTCAATGACCTTTCCTTCTTATGCATTGATGTCATACTGAGTTATTTGTCCACAATTTATATGGCTGGCCTTCCAATTTATCAATAAAATACCTATAAAGCAAAAGATGAAACATTTTATTGTGTCCACTTTCACAAATTAGGTTATTTGTTGATTAGTCTGTTACTATCAAACACAATAGTAAAAGATCAATTGATAAACCCTTTGTTCTATTGCCCTATTTTCCTTTTGGTATTTCTGTCCAAATTTGATTAAAGCAATGTGAGTAGTGTTTAATGATTCCATTTAGGAAACCATTATGCGGCGGTTATTTTTTTGTTGTATTTAAAAGCAATGTGTGCTAGGGTTATGAAATTCACAATATGTAAGGATCGAAGGATGGTTGTTTTGTTGACAGCCCATTCTAATTGGGTATCAATTTTTTGTATCATGATTCCTGCTAGGCTTTTCCTTTTGATGATCTCTCTCTCTCTCTCTATGTATGTATGTATGTATGTATGTATGTATGTATGTATGTATGTATGTATGTATGTATGTATGTATGTATGTATGTATGTATGTATGTATGTATGTATGTATGTATGTATGTATTTGGCTTTATGTTGGCATATCATTTTCTATAAAATCTTTTATGAAATAAGCAAGCCTGACAGATTTTTTTATGTAGAGTACCTCCGAAGGGTGGATTTGATCCAGGACTTGAAATTTGAAACTGCAGCAACCAAAATTAAGGTGACTCCTGATGGAGAATATTTAATCGCCTCAGGTATTTTAACAGAAGAATATATGTGAATATTTTATATCTTAAACATGATTGGTTTTATTTCAACTACTTTGGATCAGATTTATAATGGTTGTAAACAATTCCTTAATTTAATTCATTTAAAGTTATAATATCATTAAATTTAATTTTTAATGATTGTATGTGGATAACTTTGTGCTGTTTATACTTTATCTCACTCTTTAGAAAAGGACACAACCTTGGGTGATCATATTTGTGACTTTTTTTTTATATTCTTTTCATCTATGCAGTATATTTATAATATCTAAAACAATGAACATGGTTATCTTTAGTTTTTAAGAGTATGGCACTGGAAGTTGAATGTATTCCACTTTTAATCTTAACATCTACTAAATGGCTCACAAACGGATTCCTTTTTTGTATGATTATGGCTTTTGAAGGAATTGATGAATTTTTTTCTTTCCATATGAAAGAGAAATATTTGAATTTCATAGCATTTTTTTTCCAACTTGAACTAGTGATGGAGTGGTACCACAAGGAGTGTGGAAATAATAGTTTTTTATGAGTAGTTTTGATATTTTTTTGTTGGGGTAGTAATGCAGGGACTGCAATTAACATGACAACCTTTAATGGGCAATGTCAATGAATGAAGAAGACAAATCTTTCTAGATAGGGCTTCCAAATCTCTTATAGAGTTTCCGACTCACAGGAAGGATGACTTCTCTCCATAATCTGTAAGGTTGTTCTTCCTCGAATAAGTCGGGAGCTCTGTCATTTTTTGACCATGTCAGGAGCTCAATGAGAACCTAAATTTACAAAAAATCTTGCTTGTGGTGAAGTTCTTGCTCATGTAGGCTTAGGATGCTGGTAATGCTTGCATGGAACACACATCACGTGTGTGGAGTTTACTGATTAAATCCCGAGTTTTCAATTTATTTTGCCAAATAACATGAAAACAGTCTAATTCAAGGGAGATCTGATATTACATCTAAGAATAAACGTTAGGTTATATCAAAGGACAGATTTATGTGGTAAAAAATTATAAACAACTGTAAGACTGTGACAACAACATGCTTGTGGTGCAATATTCTATTTTTGCTGATTTCCTTAGAAAAACTAATATTATTGTTCTTTCTTGTAGCAAGAATGTTGTTGGTGGCCTTTTTCTGCAGTGAGAGTAGCAGGAAGCAAAATATGCACATTTTTTATATGTTGTAAAAACTGGTGGAAGCAACTGGAATCATTGATCATAATGAGGAAAGACCCTGAGGGGTGATCCATGCTTTGTTCACTGTTCCCATGACCAGGAAGTGTGGGATATCTTATTCCTGGTGCAAAGAGGAGCTGCCGAGCTGATTTAGGCGCTGGAGTTAGTCAGGTTACTTTTGTCGAAGGTTTAGATTAGATTTCTTTTGTTGTTTGGGATTAATTTGGAAGAGCATTAAATGAAGATTGAAGGGTAAACTAATGTTGAAGCTTCCTGAGAACCGAAACAGGGAAAAAAGGAACAAAGAAAAAACACAGTAACATTCTGCATACAACCCACAAACGTACAAATATATATAGTTTGTCATGATGGAACCAGCTAATAAAACGGTAAGTGTTTCTTTTACTAATAAGGGTAATAAGTTATAAAAACAGAAAATGAAAACGTAAAAACATAATTGATAGTAATATATTCTACGATGATAAACATACACCAGATCATAATTAGTGGTTGGAATGTGGTGGAAAAATTGGTGGGCTTATAGGAATTTTGATTTAAAAATTTTAAATTTTGAAATCGAAAGGAGAAGATGGAGATTTTTTTTAGAGGAAATACTTGTGCAAGAATTCAGAAGCCTTGAATTTTAAGTTTCATATCAGAAGCAGGAATTCCTTAGTTGATGAAGTGTCTAGAATTCCTTAATTGAACAAGTGTCTAGAATTAAGGATTTCTGGTTGGAAAGAATCTGGAATTAAGGATTTCTTGCTGGTTAAGAAATATGTACCCGTTATAATAAGATTTCCATGTGGGTTATGTCAGATATAGCTATGTAGAAATTTAGCTATTTCAGGAAACGGTAAATCAATGACTTGCAGGACGATTGTAACATGGGGAAAGTAGTGCCAGGGGCATTATATTATAAATTTTTAGAGATTTCTAAATTAGTTATCAAATTGACAAAATCTGCAAGGCAACACAACGACAGATTATGTAAATTTTCTGGTGCCAAATTGATGGAGTGATAGATTAGGGAGCATAAAAAGAAAAGCACTATGCTTTTGTTAATTATCGCCCCAACTATAAAATTTTCTTATAGGAAGAAGTGGCAGCACTTTAAGTTCTTGTTTAAAGAAATGACGACACTCTGGTTCTTGGAAAACACACGATATTTTCACAGAAACCACACAATAAATATTGAAGTGAATCAATCCTTCTATTCCTCTGTTCTGCACAAGAGAGAAAGCCTTTAGGTTGCTTCTGCAGCAATCAACAATTCCTTCGCCCGCGTCCCTTATTCTGTTAGATTAATACGACCTTACTGCTACAGTAAGAGAAATATAGCTCTTTTTGTTGGTTGTTCTGTGCATTCAATATAACTTTTCATCTGATATTGCATGTGTTTGTAGATTTATAGCAATGTTTGAAATAGCTGTTAATTTTCTTAATTTTTTTTTAGTTAATTTCCTATGTTAAATTAATGAAATCCATCCCTTAATTTAATTATGAAATACAACAAAATACCCTGAATAATAATTTGAAATTTATGATAGTTTAAAACATTCCATTTGATTTCGAATGAACATTTATATGAATTTTCCATTGACGAAAATTTGGTTTTCTTTTATATTTGATACATAGATAAAGTTGTTAGTTTGATCATCACAGATCATTAGCAATTTTCTTAATTTATCTTGAACTACTTAGGTGAATTTCGTAATTTTAATAATTAAAATATTCAGTATTTCATTTACTAAATAAGGAAAATAGCTTAAAATTTGGGATTGTTCAAATCATCAATTTGAATTACGAAATTCATTCACTAATTTTTCCATGCATAGATTATTTTTTCTTCAATTTTTCTTACCTTTTAAAGCCTTTTTTTGTAAAATTAATAGAAAGCAAGTTTAATTACAAAAATTAACTTCCTGGCACATGGTTGTTGTTTGAGCTTGAATTTGAGGTTTCAAGTCATTCTTAGTCATTTGTATAAAATGAACGGACAAGCAAAGATGACTCAAAGCTTTAGGGTAAGAGGAAAAGAGAACTTCCTTGGATATTATGATGGCAAGAGGGGGACATCGCCAAAAATAGTGGAAAATAGCTGATTAATAAGATTGTAGATAACCAACACATCACCCCAAAAAATGTTGGTGGAACATTCATTGGGAATATTAAGGTTTGATAGGCTTAAAGTAAGCGATGATGCTTGTGTTCAACAAACTTGTTCTATTGAAGTTTATATGGACACAATGTTTGGTGCATGATTTTATTCTCATTAGACAATGATTGAAATTGAGACTACATAAATCTTAAGATTTTAACGATCCTTTGAGTCTTAATCATAGTAGAAAATCAAAATTTAATTTCTTAAAAAAAGATTTGAAATATAGGCAGAATGTTAGATCGACATATGTGTAAATAGACCCAGTGGACATAATTTTGATCATCAATAAATAAAATATTTAGAATTCAGTTGGGTAATGTTATAACTTAGGCAAGGGGTTGTTTGGTTGGATGTTTTCTAAATAGCTGCAATTTTGGGCTCGTTTGGGATGATTGCATTTATAGGTAAAGGTATTTGTCTAACTGCTGTCGAAATATCTTTTTTTTTTTAAGTTTTGGCTAAAGCAAGATTTATTGTTTAAGCTGCTGGACAATTGTGCTATTATTATATAAGGTCAAATCACCTTAATGCTCTCATATACATGTTCTTAAACACATGTAAAAGTTAATTATTGATTGCAAATAGACTTACATGCATTCTCTTAAAAACCCATAATCTTCATTTGATCAATTGAAGTTGACAATCTTTACCAAAATGGAAAATATTCACAAATTTATATGTAAGAGAATTTTGAAGTGTATATGCATGAAATATGCATCTCAAAAAAGTTGAAAAATTAAAAATGAAAAGTTATCTTACCAAAGCTCATTTTATTACCGAAGTCAAGATACACAGAGCACATTACCATCAAAAATAGCTAAAGTACGTCAAATTAATATGCAATCTCTGAAGAAATGAAAGTTTCGTCATCCATACTGAAGTTTTTTTAAAATCACTTTGAAACAATGGTCATGAAAAACAATCTTTAGTTAAGGGTTAGCAATATATCATGGAAAACTGCTCCACGAAACAAAAAGTTTTTTTGCCGCACACTGTTTGTTACCTGCCTCTTTGGATTTATTTTTATCCTAACTGAAGCTTCATATGTACTTGTCCCAAATAAAAATCAATATTCATTCATCTGGAAAATCCCTAAGATTGTAAAATTTAAGGTTGATCAAATACTGATCTTACAATCCCAAAAATCACATCTTTAGGGAGTGTGGGGTGGGCCGTTTGTTAAAGATGTGCTGCATGAGGTTTTGAGGCTTTTTGGGGTTTTGAAGTAGATGGCTTTTTGGAAGAGATAAAGCTATATAGATGAGACTGCTCATTGTGGGCTTGACTTAAGGGAGGAGCTAATAGGGAACGTGTGGCAAGGTGAGAGCTGGTGATAATGTAAGATCCAATTTAGCCTTGCCTCTGCCTTTGGTTCTAAGACGGGATCCAACTAACAAATTATTAAGTTTGCTGCTATTACCCGAAACAACTAATGTTCACCCATCAAGTTTGGTAATAGACCTCCATTCTTCTTCTTTTTTCTAAATGTATAGATCTGTCATTCTTCATCCGAGGATTGCCTCATCTGATCAGTGAATTGGTCCAAAGGTGGTTGAACGGGTGTAGGCTGTTGCACATCATGAGCCCCATGTGCCTCAGTAACAGTAACAACTTATTCGTTCTGATGAGGTGGAAGCGCAGTAGAAATATTATCACCCATTATATCAATGATAGGTTCTAGGGCAGGTGATGTCTGAAAAGTCTCCCTTGCCCTCACGAAAGGAGGTTTCATAGGCGAGGATTCTAAATCATGATTGTGTGGAGGCTGAAAGGTTGACATATTAGCTGCGAGGATAATGACATCTTCAGGAGTATCCATCTGATGATCAATAGTGTCAATAACTTAGAGCAGATCAAGAAGAGGGGGAATCACTCCCTCTGGCTGAGCACTTTTCTTTTTTGGTCTGAGATGAGGGTGTGGATGGTGACATTGAGAACTAGAGTGACCGAATATACGACAATTCGAGCAATATAAAGGGAAAGACTCAATCCCTTTTGCCAATATCCATGGTGTTGTGTGTCTAACCAAATTTCCTCAGAAGCAATTGAAGTGATGTCCCTTTCAACAAGTACTCTGGCTTCAAAGGGACGTGAAAGATTAAAAGTAGAAATGTCTGTTTTGAGTGACTCCTGACTTCAAAGGGATGTGAAAGATTAAAAGTAGAAATGTCTATTTTGAGTGACTTGTCATAAGCTAAAACAATAGAGTACAACACTTTTATAGTAAAATAGTGAAGGTTCAGGCCAGGAAGACAAATTCAGACCAAAATGATTGGTGGCTCCGTTTGTGGATCAAAATTCACCTACCATTTCAAAATCTTCATAGCTCTGTTATTAATCCAGATTTATTTTCTAGCAAATAAGCGTGTGTAATCCTCTTCATTATTAAGTTGAATAAGGATGTGTCTTCAATCTAAAAGTTCAATTTTTCAATCCCTAACAAGGTGCATAAGCTCAATTTTTTTCCAAATAAGCTCCATTTTGGGATGACCACAAAGAAATTTTTTGACCAAATTCAGACGACAGAAAGAAACAAGCTGATTACATTCAGCTTCCGTAAAAAATATAGCTGACTTCTCATTCTTTCTACCAGGTTTCTTGATGTCCTCCGCCAAATCAGAAGAAGGAGAGAAAGAGCACGATGTAGGAGCACCTGAAGCGTAGACACCCGCAAGGGTATCAGGATATCATTCGCCTCACTATGCGCAAATCAAACTTAAATTGGCCTGATTGTCTATAAATTTGTCCAGATAACTCTGGATGATGAAATGGAAGAACAAAAGCCGAAAGGGGGATCAACGGTACCCCCGTCCAAGTCGAGCAGAGGGCGGTGGAAATATGCGAACGCTCTGCTTCGAGCCCGAGGAAAGGAGGAGCCCGCGTCCAGGAACGTCCTTCAAAATCATGAAAGACTGCGAGAGAACCAAACCTTCCAAATGGGGACGAAAGCCAGCGGCGAGAAAAAAATGAAAACTGCGACGACAATGATGAAGGATTGCGGCGAGCAAAACGAATCTCCCAATCGACGATGATGACGAAGGACTGTGGGGTAGACGCAGCGAGAATGACCAAAGGAAAGGATTGAGTGTAAGGATGCGTTAAGACGCCGTAACAGACGCTAGGGTTCGCCATGAGGCGAAACCCTAGTAGAGCCGAGCACGGGAGAAGACACCGTGTTACTTTTATCCCTGTATTTATAAAGCGAAGTAGTAAAAAAGTTGCCTCAAATGGACAATTTGAAATGTAGAGTAATTGAAATGCATACATTTTAAAAATGCATGAATGACTTAATAGGGTATAAATAAAATGTGCTGAAATTCTTTTTTTGTGCTTGCTACAATACGTTTCAATTGCATTGAATTGTTTGTGTTGTGGGCAAAGCATAAACAATAT